ACTCTAGGTACATGTAATGATGTGAAATTGAAATGGCTGCAGTATAATATACTGGTAAAAAAACATCACTGGGAATCTCTTCATCTGCACATTGTGGAGGTGATCATTGTATTGAGACATTACATTATATTTCCCAGTTAAGTTGGTAATGGTAAGAGAACTTAGGAACCTGTCAGTAAATAAGTTGATTATAATGTTGTTTATAGTCAGGAATATTAGTGTTTTACCTGGACCCCATTAACCAACTTGATCCAGAATAGAATGTAGAGCTGGAAGCCGACAAACACCAGTTGTATTTATGCCATTATATCTGTAACTATATGGTTACCATATAACATTTGTGTTGGCTATTTGATGGTAGTAGGATCATTCTGTGCTTCCTAATAACATTTATATTGGCTAGTTGATGGTAGTAGGATCATTCCATGCTTCCTAATAACATTTGTATTGGCTAGTTGATGGTAGTGGGATCATTCTGTGCTTCCTAATAACATTTGTATTGGCTAGTTGATGGTAGTAGGGTCATTCTGTGCTTCCTAATAACATTTGTATTGGCTAGTTGATGTTAGTAGGGTCACTCTATGCTTCCTAATAACATTTGTGTTGTCTAGTTGATGGTAGTAGGATCATTCTGTGCTTCCTAATAACATTTGTGTTGGCTAGTTGATGGTAGTAGGATCATTCTGTGCTTCCTAATAACATTTGTATTGGCTAGTTGATGGTAGTGGGATCATTCTGTGCTTCCTAATAACATTTGTATTGGCTAGTTGATGGTAGTAGGGTCATTCTGTGCTTCCTAATAACATTTGTATTGGCTAGTTGATGTTAGTAGGGTCACTCTATGCTTCCTAATAACATTTGTGTTGTCTAGTTGATGGTAGTAGGATCATTCTGTGCTTCCTAATAACATTTGTGTTGGCTATTTGATGGTAGTAGGATCATTCCATGCTTCCTAATAACATTTGTGTTGGCTAGTTGATGGTAGTAGGATCATTCCATGCTTCCTAATAACATTTGTGTTGTCTAGTTGATGGTAGTAGGATCATTCTGTGCTTCCTAATAACATTTGTGTTGGCTAGTTGATGGTAGTAGGATCATTCCATGCTTCCTAATAACATTTGTGTTGGCTAGTTGATCGAAGTAGGATCAATCTGCGCTTCCTAATAACATTTGTATTGGCTAGTTGATGGTAGTAGGGTCACTCTATGCTTCCTAATAACATTTGTGTTGTCTAGTTGATGGTAGTAGGATCATTCTGTGCTTCCTAATAACATTTGTGTTGGCTAGTTGATGGTAGTAGGATCATTCCATGCTTCCTAATAACATTTGTATTGGCTAGTTGATGGTAGTAGGATCATTCCATGCTTCCTAATAACATTTGTATTGGCTAGTTGATGGTAGTAGGGTCATTCCATGCTTCCTAATAACATTTGTATTGGCTAGTTGATGGTAGTAGGATGATTCTGTTCTTCCTAATAACATTTGTATTGGCTAGTCGATGGTAGTAGGATCATTCTCTGCTTCCTAATAACATATGTATTGGCTAGTTGATGGTAGTAGGATCATTCCATGTTTCCTGATAACATTTGTATTGGCTAGTTGATGGTAGTAGCATCATTCCATGCTTCCTAATAACATTTGTATTGGCTAGTTGATGGTAGTAGGATCATTCTCAGCTTCCTAATAACATTTGTATTGGCTAGTTGATGGTAGTAGGATCATTCTGTGCTTCCTAATAACATTTGTATTGGCTAGTTGATGGTAGTAGGATCATTCTGTGCTTCCTAATAACATTTGTATTGGCTAGTTGATGGTAGTAGGATCATTCCATGGTTCCTAATAACATTTGTATTGGCTAGTTGATGGTAGTAGGATCATTCTGTGCTTCCTAATAACATTTGTGTTGGCTATTTGATGGTAGTAGGATCATTCTGTGCTTCCTAATAACATTTGTATTGGCTAGTTGATGGTAGTAGGATCATTCTGCGCTTCCTAATAACATTTGTGTTGGCTAGTTGATGGTAGTAGCATCATTCCATGCTTCCTAATAACATTTGTATTGGCTAGTTGATGGTAGTAGGATCATTCTGTGCTTCCTAATAACATTTGTATTGGCTAGTTGATGGTAGTAGGATCAATCTGTGCTTCCTAATAACATTTGTATTGGCTAGTTGATGGTAGTAGGATCATTCTGCGCTTCCTAATAACATTTGTGTTGGCTAGTTGATGGTAGTAGCATCATTCCATGCTTCCTAATAACATTTGTATTGGCTAGTTGATGGTAGTAGGATCATTCTGTTCTTCCTAATAACATTTGTATTGGCTTGTTGATGGTAGTAGGATCATTCTGTGCTTCCTAATAACATTTGTATTGGCTAGTTGATGGTAGTAGGATCATTCCATGCTTCCTAATAACATTTGTATTGGCTAGTTGATGGTAGAAAGGTTATTCTGTGCTTCCTAATAACATTTGTATTGGCTATTTGATGGTAGTAGGATCAATCTGTGCTTCCTAATAACATTTGTATTGGCTAGTTGATGGTAGTAGGGTCATTCTGTGCTTCCTAATAACATTTGTATTGGCTAGTTGATGGTAGTAGGATCATTCCATGCTTCCTAATAACATTTGTATTGGCTAGTTGATGGTAGTAGGATCAATCTGTGCTTCCTAATAACATTTGTATTGGCTTGTTGATGGATAGTAGTAGGATCATTCCATGCTTCCTAATAACATTTGTATTGGCTTGTTGATGGATGGTAGTAGGATCATTCCATGCTTCCTAATAACATTTGTGTTGGCTAGTTGATGGAACGTAGTAGGATCAATCTGTGCTTCCTAATAACATTTGTATTGGCTAGTTGATGGTTGTAGGGTCATTCTGTGCTTCCTAATAACATTTGTATTGGCTAGTTGATGGTAGTAGGATCATTCCATGCTTCCTAATAACATTTGTATTGGCTTGTTGATGGATAGTAGTAGGTTCATTCCATGCTTCCTAATAACATTTCTAAAAGCGAGTTGATGTTAGACAGAAGAAATGCTAAATTGGAACCTTTGTTGGTTAATCTTAGTGTTGTTAAAGTACAACTAATAATTATACCTGCTATGAATTCATCAACTGACCATCAAGTGAATGATGACAAATAAACAGGTGTAGGTAACATGGGTTACAGAGTAGTAAACATTGTATGCAGTTTTACTGGTTTAAAAAAGCTTGGGGGTCGATGCTGTTTTGAGTAAACAAACAGAACTTCATTGTTGCTAGATTTTTCTAGCAAAGGCAAAGTTAGTTTACGGATTCAACTAAATCAAAAGTGTATTTTTAATGTCATAGGTCAATAGACATCACCCTGTCACATGACAAGATTAAATATCAAGGAAACACAGAACCAGGATCAGATTGGACCAGCTTACACTATAGTACAATCAGTCTGGATCAGCTTACACAATAGTACAATCAGTCTGGATCAGCTCACGCTATAGTACAATCAGTCTGGATCAGCTTACACAATAGTACAATCAGTCTGGATCAGCTTACGCTATAGTACAATCAGACTGGATCAGCTTACACTATATTACAATCAGACTGGATCAGCTTACACTATAGTACAATCAGACTGGATCAGCTTACACTATAGTACTATCAGTCTGGATCAGCTCACACTATAGTACAGTCAGAATGGATCAGCTCACACTATAGTACTATCAGTCTGGATCAGCTCACACTATAGTACAGTCAGAATGGATCAGCTCACACAATAGTACAGTCTGACTGGATCAGCTCAAACTATAGTACAGTCAGACTGGATCAGCTTACACTATAGTTCTATCAGTCTGGATCAGCTCACACTATAGTACAGTCATAATGGATCAGCTCACACAATAGTACAGTCAGACTGGATCAGCTCACACTATATTACAATCAGACTGGATCAGCTTACACTATAGTACAATCAGTCTGGATCAGCTTACACTATAGTACAGTCATACTGGATCAGCTCACACTATAGTACAGTCAGACTGGATCAGCTTACACTGTATTGCAATCAGTCTGGATCAGCTGACACTATAATACAGTCAGACTGGATCAGCTTACACTATAGTGCAATCAGACTGGATCAGCTTACACTATAGTACAATCAGACTGGATCAGCTTACACTATAGTACAATCAGTCTGGATCAGCTCACGCTATAGTACAGTCAGACTGGATCAGCTTACACTATAGTACAATCAGACTGGATCAGCTTACACTATAGTACAATTAGACTGGATCAGCTTACACTATATTACAATCAGACTGGATCAGCTTACACTATAGTACAATTAGACTGGATCAGCTTACACTATATTACAATCAGACTGGATCACCTTACACTATATTACAATCAGTCAGGATCAGCTTACACTAAAGTGCCGTGAGACTGGATCAGCTTACACTATATTACAATCAGACTGAATCAGCTTACACTATATTACAATCAGACTGGATCAGCTTACACTATAGTACAGACTGGATCAGCTTACACTATAGTACAATCAGACTTGTTCACCTTACACTATAGTACAATCAGACTGGATCAGCTCACACTATATTGCAATCAGACTGGATCAGCTTACACTATATTACAATCAGACTGGATCAGCTTACACTATAGTGCAATCAGACTGGATCAGCTTACACTATAGTACAATCAGTCTGGTTCAACGTACACTATAGTACAATCAGACTGAATCAGCTTACACTATGGTACAATCAGTCTGGATCAGCTTACACTATAGTACAATCAGTCTGGATCAGCTAACACTATAGTACAATCAGACTAGAACTACCAAGGTCATTTTCAACCGTTCTTAGTCTCATTGATTAGGTTGAAGAAGTTCTGTCAAGGTGGCCATCTGCCCTGTCCCTGTGTCCGTCACAGTCGAGGGAGCACCTGTCAGCTGGATGTCATACTTGATCTGGATCAGTGCCCCTTTAAAATTTGTTTATTCAACAGGCAGAGGACTGAGGTGATATCCCACACAAGCAGTCCTTTCTTTGATGGGGTATTACTCACAACTGTGAGGGTGAGTGGAGCACGAGGGCTGTGATGCTGAATATCAACATGTATCAAGGAGCCCTGTCCAGATGTTATTCACTGACAAGAACAAGGGTCCCTATACCCACAAACAGGAACCGGTCAGTGGAGTGTTGCATGAGGCAGTACAGAGGTCTGAGCAGTGGGACACTTGACAGGAGAACATACAGCACAGGTGTGTCGTCACTACCCCAGCAGGCGAGGGTGGTGGTGTGTGGCGGAGGCGTGGTGGGGTCCTCGATTGCGTATCACCTGGCAGAGCGGGGTGTGACGGACGTGGTGTTGCTGGAACAGGGAAGGTAGGTAACACATCTAGTATTATTGTGTGCATGCTACAGTGACAGTGTCTGTATTGTGTGCATGCTACAGTGACTGTGTCTGTATTGTGTGCATGCTACAGTGACTGTGTCTGTATTGTGTGCATGCTACAGTGACTGTGTCTGTATTGTGTGCATGCTACAGTGACGGTAGTATTGTGTGCATGGTGTCAGGATGTCAGTAGTTTAGGGTGATAGGATGTCAGTGGTTTAGGGTGTCAGGATGTCAGTAGTTTAAGTTGTCAGGATGTCAGTAGTTTAGGGTGACAGGATGTCAGTAGTTTAGGTTGTCAGGATGTCAGTGGTTTAGGGTGTCAGTAGTTTAGGGTGTCAGGATGTCAGTGGTTTAGGGTGTCAGGATGTCAGTAGTTTAGGGTGTCAGGATGTCAGTAGTTTAGGGTGTCAGGGTGTCAGTAGTTTAGGGTGTCAGGATATCAGTAGTTTAGGGTGTCAGGATGTCATTAGTTTAGGGTGTCAGGATGTCAGTAGTTTAGGGTGTCAGGATGTCAGTAGTTTAGGGTGTCAGGATGTCAGTAGTTTAGATTGTTATGATGTCAGTAGTTTAGGGTGTCAGGATGTCTGTCGTTTAGGGTGTGAGGATGTCAGTAGTTTAGGGTGTCAGGATGTCAGTAGTTTAGGGTGTCAGGATGTCAGTAGTTTAGGGTGTCAGAATGTCTGTAGTTTATGGTGTCAAGATGTCATTAGTTTAGGTTGTCAGGATGTCAGTAGTTTAGGGTGTCAGGATGTCAGTAGTTTAGGGTGTCAGGATGTCATTAGTTTAGGGTGACAGGATGTCAGTAGTTTACGGTGTCAGGATATCAGTAGTTTAGGGTGTCAGGATGTCAGTAATTTAGGTTGTCAGGATGTCTGTTGTTTAGGGTGTCAGGATGTCAGTAGTTTAGGTTGTCAGGATGTCTGTCATTTAGGGTGTTATGATGTCAGTAGTTTAGGGTGTCAGGATGTCAGTAGTTTAGGGTGTTATGATGTCAGTAGTTTAGGTTGTCAGGATGTCAGTAGTTTAGGTTGTCAGGATGTCAGTGTGTCAGGATGTCAGTAGTTTAGGGTGTCAGGATGTCCTTAGTTTAGGGTGTCAGGATGTCCTTAGTTTAGGGTGTCAGGATGTCCTTAGTTTAGGGTGTCAGGATGTCAGTAGTTTAGGGTGTCAGGATGTCAGGAGTTTAAGGTGTCAGGATGTCATTAGTTTAGGTTGTCAGGATGTCAGTAGTTTAGATTGTTATGTCAGTAGTTTAGGTTGTCAGGATGTCTGTCATTTGGGGCGTCAGGATGTCAGTAGTTTAGGGTGACAGGATGTCAGTAGTTTAGGGTGTCAGGATATCAGTAGTTTAGGGTGTCAGGATGTCAGTAGTTTAGGTTGTCAGGATGTCAGTAGTTTAGGGTGTCAGGATGTCAGTAGTTTAGGGTGTCAGGATGTCAGTAGTTTAGGTTGTCAGGATGTCAGTAGTTTAGGGTGTCAGGATGTCATTAGTTTATGGTGTCAAGATGTCATTAGTTTAGGGTGTCAGGATGTCAGTGGTTTAGGGTGTCGGTGTCAGTAGTTTAGGTTGTCAGGATGTCAGTAGTTTAGGGTGTCAGGATGTCATTAGTTTAGGGTGTTATGATGTCATTAGTTTAGGTTGTCAGGATGTCTGTCGTTTAGGGTGTCAGGATGTCAGTGTGTCAGGATGTCAGTAGTTTAGGGTGTCGGGATGTCAGTAGTTTAGGGTGTCAGGATGTCAGTAGTTTAGGTTGTCAGGATGTCAGTAGTTTAGGGTGACAGTATGTAAGTGGTTTAGGTTGTCAGGATGTCAGTGGTTTAGGTTGTAAGGATGTCAGTAGTTTATGGTGTCAGGATGTCATTAGTTTAGGGTGTCAGGATGTCAGTGGTTTAGGTTGTCAGGATATCAGTAGTTTAGGGTGTCAGGATATCAGTAGTTTAGGGTGTCAGAATGTCATTAGTTTAGGGTGACAGGATGTCAGTGGTTTATGGTGTCAGGATGTCAGTAGTTTAGGTTGTCAGGATGTCAGTAGTTTAGGGTGTCAGGATGTCAGTAGTTTATGGTGTCAAGATGTCATTAGTTTAGGGTGTCAGGATGTCAGTAGTTTAGGGTGTCGGTGTCAGTAGTTTAGGTTCTCAGGATGTCAGTAGTTTAGGGTGTCAGTAGTTTAGGGTGTCAGGATGTCAGTAGTTTAGGGTGTCAGGATGTCAGTAGTTTAGGGTGACAGGATGTCAGTGGTTTAGGTTGTCAGGATGTCAGTGGTTTAGGTTGTAAGGATGTCAGTAGTTTATGGTGTCAGGATGTCATTAGTTTAGGGTGTCAGGATGTCAGTGGTTTAGGTTGTCAGGATATCAGTAGTTTAGGGTGTCAGGATTTCAGTAGTTTAGGGTGTCAGGATGTCATTAGTTTAGGGTGACAGGATGTCAGTGGTTTAGGGTGTCAGGATGTCAGTAGTTTAGGGTGTCAGGATGTCAGTAGTTTAGGTTGTCAGGATGTCAGTAGTTTATGGTGTCAGGATGTCAGTAGTTTATGGTGTCAAGATGTCATTAGTTTATGGTGTCAGGATGTCAGTAGTTTAGGGTGTCGGTGTCAGTAGTTTAGGTTCTCAGGATGTCAGTAGTTTAGGGTGTCAGGATGTCATTAGTTTAGGGTGTTATGATGTCATTAGTTTAGGGTTGTCAGGATGTCTGTCGTTTAGGGTGTCAGGATGTCAGTGTGTCAGGATGTCAGTAGTTTAGGGTGTCAGGATGTCAGTAGTTTAGGGTGTCAGGATGTCAGTAGTTTAGGGTGTCAGGATGTCAGTAGTTTAGGGTGTCAGGATGTCAGTAGTTTAGGGTGACAGGATGTCAGTGGTTTAGGTTGTCAGGATGTCAGTGGTTTAGGTTGTAAGGATGTCAGTAGTTTATGGTGTCAGGATGTCATTAGTTTAGGGTGTCAGGATGTCAGTGGTTTAGGTTGTCAGGATATCAGTAGTTTAGGGTGTCAGGATTTCAGTAGTTTAGGGTGTCAGGATGTCATTAGTTTAGGGTGACAGGATGTCAGTGGTTTAGAGTGTCAGGATGTCAGTAGTTTAGGGTGTCAGGATGTCAGTAGTTTAGGTTGTCAGGATGTCAGTAGTTTATGGTGTCAGGATGTCAGTAGTTTATGGTGTCAAGATGTCATTAGTTTATGGTGTCAGGATGTCAGTAGTTTAGGGTGTCGGTGTCAGTAGTTTAGGTTCTCAGGATGTCAGTAGTTTAGGGTGTCAGGATGTCATTAGTTTAGGGTGTTATGATGTCATTAGTTTAGGTTGTCAGGATGTCTGTCGTTTAGGGTGTCAGGATGTCAGTGTGTCAGGATGTCAGTAGTTTAGGGTGTCAGGATGTCAGTAGTTTAGGGTGTCAGGATGTCAGTAGTTTAGGTTGTCAGGATGTCAGTATTTTAGGGTGACAGGATGTCAGTGGTTTAGGTTGTCAGGATGTCAGTGGTTTAGGTTGTAAGGATGTCAGTAGTTTAGGGTGTCAGGATGTCATTAGTTTAGGGTGTCAGGATGTCAGTGGTTTAGGTTGTCAGGATATCAGTAGTTTAGGGTGTCAGGATTTCAGTAGTTTAGGGTGACAGGATGTCAGTGGTTTAGGGTGTCAGGATGTCAGTAGTTTAGGGTGTCAGGATGTCAGTAGTTTAGGGTGACAGGATGTCAGTAGTTTAGGTAGTCAGGATGTCAGTGGTTTAGGGTGTCAGGATGTCATTAGTTTAGGGTGTCAGGATGTCAGTAGTTTAGGGTGTCAGGGTGTCAGTAGTTTAGGGTGTCAAGGTCTGTTTGCTGGCTGGTGTGTCAGGGTGGCAAAATTGTGGGGTGTCAGGATATGTGAGGAGGTTTGGGTGTCTGTTTTAAGAGTGTTGGTATGTCAAGGTGTCAGTGTTTTGTGTTGTCAAGGTTTGACATGTTTAGGTGTGAGATACTGTGGAGGTGTTAGGGGTTGTGAAGATGTCAGGCTGTGAGGGACTGTGGAGGTGTTAGGGGTTGTGAAGATGTCAGGCTGTGAAGGACTGAGGAGATCGACTATTATGTACACACCACCAGTGTTACAAGCAGAATGTTTCTGTACATGCCTATGTAAGTAATGTAAGGCTATGTAACACTGTGAAAGGAATTTGAAACCTTGTGAGTGAATGTTTAGTTCTGCATGGAGGCACGCTGCAAGGTGTGTTACTTTATGTGTTCTAGATTTAGTGTAGTTCTCGAGGGGATCTGTGGGCTTGACACAGTTGGTACCAGCCTGTGATAGGGTACTTATATAGACGCAAGCAAACTGTAGCACAAATAGGGTTGCGCAAGAGAGAAAAAACTCGCGTATAGGAAGACTGGTAATTTTCCCTCTGTTACACAACCCTATTTGTGCTCCAGTTTGCCTGTGGGTCACTATACTCATTGTCCAGGCACTCAAAACATCTCCCAAATATATATGTAGTAGTTACAATATTCTGCTGTCAATCAACACAGGCTCGCCCATCGTCTATCTGGACAACCTCGAGTGATTGGATAGTATAACTGCTTTGTACCATACCCACATTGCGTGTTTTCAAAATCTGCGCGGGATGTTTGAATTTGAAATCATTCTGTGTCACACGGCCGTGATGTCAAGTCACGTATAGACCTTACATGGTCACAAATAATTGATGAAGTTGACCATAATAGACTGGAATGGGATGATTATAATCAAAGACACATTTTTTTTACAAGCTGCTGAGGTTATGGAAACTCAATCGGCCGTGTTAGATGGGTTGACTCAATTGTCAGTATCGTACACAGGCGAAGGTGCAACGTTTCCTGAACTTTAAAATTATAACATGTTATATTTGGGATTACACTTTCTTTAGTAAAGTACAGATTCTAGTACTTTTGGGTTGAGTCCCATCCAGGATTCGAACCCACACCCTCAGAGTCAGGCACCTAATCGCCAGCACAAAAAGTCAGACGCCTAGGCCGCTCAGCCACTGCGGCTTCCACGGCTTTTAAAACTATAAACTTAACTCAGGTCATGAAAAATTACGATGTAGACACGAGCTCTCGTTTTAGAATGAAGTAACTACTACAAGGTTTACATTAGATTGAAACTGTTTTATGTATGTGGGAACAGTAGGAGTGGCTTGCTAAACTGTAGTGAGCCAATCAGATAGCCGCAGTCAAAGGTTACTTCAAGCCGCGGTCAAAGGTTACTTCAAGCCGCGGTCAAAGGTTACTTCGAGCCATGGTGTAACTATTAGATAGACCACGGGTAATATCAAAGGGACCGCCGCCAGGGCATGGTACAAATGATGATGGACAACATACTTATATGATGAAATGTAATGATGACATTTATGATAGGGCCATCTGTGATCCTACAGGGATTGATGTCTCTATATCCAGGCTGCAACCAGATAACAGTTTCCACCGCAAGCACTTTTATCAGTGTAAATTTCCTCTAATAAAAATTATGTCCTCCATTTTGTGTATCAGGTGAATCAAGTACTAGGAGTGAGTAAAACAAGTTTTTATGCTCATAATTCAGTTTCATAAAACACAATCTTGTGGCTTAACATGAAAGGTCTGAGGTCTTTGTGTATCAGGTTGAGTGTAATGCATGACAAATGGATTTTGTTGACAGATTTTCCCACAGTGTTCATACGGAAAAACTAAATTTTTGAATGAAATTGTCAATGAAGTAGGCAATTATCTATATTATACGTCAAGACACCCGATGTTGTGAGCAGTAATTGAGATGGTAAAGCTGAACAGGAATATCCTGCTTGGTCTTCTGTTAAAAATCGTTGGATGCTTCCATCGGTTGATAGAGCTGTTGGTTGATATCCTGTTGGTGAAACTGCTTACACTTCTAACTGTGTAGTGAGACTGTGTCCTAGTTTTATCAGGAATAATATCAAGAGGACTTCAAAATCTGGTCTTTTAGTAGTTTTAGTAGTTCATTATGAAACCACAGAAGACTTGATGTACTGTCGGTTCTGTCAGAAACTTGACAAAAGGCAAAAGGTGATATCTTGTGAAACAGTTTGAGGGATCTCTTGAATCAATGTAGGAACATATTGCAAGATGGATGAATTAAGGAAATATTAGCTCTAGTCAGGGTAGTTCCGTCCCTACCAGTCTATTCCTCTCTGTGTGCAAGGAGATTTAGTTAAGTACAGACAGTGATGTCTGGCTGGAGAGTAAAGCAACACTTCCGAGTGACAGTTTGTCTGATCTTGGCAGTACCATGGCAGGAGGGAATCTTCAGGATCTACCGTCTGTGAAATGAAGCTACTGAGAAGCTGTTGATGGTCCATTGATGGTTTAGTGATGGTCCAGTGATGGTCTGGTGATGGTTTGGTGATGGTTTAGTGATGGTCTAGTGATGGTCCAGTGATGGTCCAGTGATGGTCCGGTGATGGTCCGGTGATGGTCTAGTGATGGTCTAGTGATGGTCTAGTGATGGTCCAGTGATGGTTTAGTGATGGTCTAGTGATGGGTTAGTGATGGTCCAGTGATGGTCCAGTGATGGTCCAGTGATGGTCTGGTGATGGTCCAGCGATGGTCTAGTGATGGTCCAGTGATAATGGAACAGAATAGATATAAAATTGCTAAAAAAAAATATACTTCAGCACTATCTCAAGTTTATTTTTCCTTTTGCTTTGTTTAGGAATCAAACTAAGTGAAAGTATGGTATTTCAGGCCACGATAACTAGATGTAGCCAATATTTTGATGGCACAACCTGATTATTTGACTGTTGCACCTGGTGCAGATCATGAAAACGAATGAAATCATATCATGTCCCACTGATCAGATGATGTCGACACATGGCTAATTACATGGAGAGCTGGCACACTGTTGAGTTATATGATACTGTAGTTATCTTCATGGATATATTATTAGGCTGCGATGTTCAGGAAGCAGAACACTTTAATCAGGACGTGATGCTCATAACTCCGGAAAATTGGCCTATTTGTATTAATGTATGACGCATCTCAATTACTTTCAGTTATTCGCACATGCAAATTTGTATAGAAATTTGATAAAGCTAATCATATTGTTAGTAGAATTACCTGCACAAAATTGAATTTCATACCCCACACATAGGATGAGTTTACAAATGTCACATTATGCAACAGGTAACCTCTCTGTACATAGAACAAAGAAGGTATATCTCCTACATGTCTCTAGGAAACTAACTGTACATTGAACAAAGAAGGTATATATCCTACATGTATATCCCAAGGAAACTAACTGTACATTGAACAAAGAAGGTATATCTCCTAGGAAGCTAATGTACATTAGGTATCCCATGTATATCCCAAGGAAACTAACTGTACATTGAACAAAGAAGGTATATCTCCTCTGAACCCAAAGGAAACCTGTACATTGAACAAAGAAGGTATATCTCCTACATGTATAGGAAACTAACTGTACATTGAACAAAGAAGGTATATCTCCTACATGTATATGTACCAAAAAGGAAACTAACTGTACATTGAACAAAGAAGGTATATCTCCTACAGGTATATCCCAAAGGAAACTAACTGTACATTGAACAAAGAAGGTATATATCCTACATGTATATCCCAAGGAAACTAACTGTACATTGAACAAAGAAGGTATATCTCCTACATGTATATCCCAAGGAAACTAACTGTACATTGAACAAAGAAGGTATATCTCCTACATGTATATCCCAAGGAAACTAACTGTACATTGAACAAATCCCAAGGAAACTAAGGTATATCTCCTACATGTATATCCCAAGGAAACTAACTGTACATTGAACAAAGAAGGTATATCTCCTACATGTATATCCCAAGGAAACTAACTGTACATTGAACAAAGAAGGTATATCTCCTACATGTATATCCCAAGGAAACTAACTGTACATTGAACAAAGAAGGTATATCTCCTACATGTATATCCCAAGGAAACTAACTGTACATTGAACAAAGAAGGTATATCTCCTACATGTATATCCCAAGGAAACTAACTGTACATTGAACAAAGAAGGTTTATCTCCTACATGTATATCCCAAGGAAACTAAATGTACATTGAACCCAAAGTTTATCTCCTACATGTATATCCCAACTAACTGTACATTGGAAACTAACTGTACATTGAACAAAGAAGGTATATCTCCTACATGTATATCCCAAAGGAAACTAACTGTACATTGAACAAAGAAGGTATATATCCTACATGTATATCCCATGTATATCCCAAGGAAACTAACTGTACATTGAACAAAGAAGGTATATATCCTACATGTATATCCTGTACATGTATATCCTACATGTATATCCCAAGGAAACTAACTGTACATGAGTGTGAATGATACCACTGATAGGGAGAACACCATCTGAAGATCCTTGCACGTTTATAGGAGATCCAGTTTGGGCCACTGATGGGTGTAAGAGCCGTATTTTCAGTATTTTAGAATGCGACACAGAAAAATGATAAACATGATGTTAAGCATGATATAAACATCATGAAGTAGAAAGTTAAGGAGTATATTTCATTTGTATGTAGGAATTGTGATTCAAAATACTTGGTTTGGTTAGTGGTACTCCTAAACAGACATAAGCAGGTGTCCCAATTCTTAGTTGATGATGTATTTTTGTCAGAAAGATAAGCTTATGTCTAACATTTATTTTCTTGTTTACACAAAACCAAATATTTTCCCATTTACTTCAGTAGTAACGTTATGTTTTAAAAACAATTAACTAAGCTATCAACAGCTATTACATGTACATGTTTGATTAAAGCATGTTTGCCTTAAAAAAGCCAAAAATATAGAATAGACGACAAGCCAGCTCATTTTCCAATACAGGAAGCCAAACAGACCAACCTAGTTCCATGAAAATCAACCACTTGGAAATACCTGTGGTTGCATTCAGTATAAGTCCTCATGTAAAAAAGACAGCACTAAATGTTAAAATATGGTCAGTTTTAAATACTGGATTTGTTCATTTTAAAAAACATAACAATCACCCAATCACAGCTGTCAGATGATGCTGACTGCACTGAAGGCTACCTACGAAAAGTGTTTGTTAAACTACGGATTCTGATTTGTTGTAGTGTAACCTTCAGTTGCTGCAGACAAACAAGGGGAGGCAATTAGTATCTAGGACAAACAGGGGAGACAATTCAGTTACTGCAGGCAAACAAGGGGAGACAATTAGTATCTGGGTGGTGGTGGAATTGGGTTTAACGTCGTGCTTGAGAATATTTCGCTCATATGACGATGTGCATGCGTGTGTATGTGTATGTGCGGCTGCTTGTACTAGCCCAGACTGAAGCTGGTTTTATAGTGCTAGCCCACTGAGATACCATGCCGCAGTGAAGCATGGATACCCCACTCAGACACATTATACTGACTCCGAGCCGACCAGTCCTTGTTGTACCCATTAATGCCGAGCGCCAGGCAGGGACCAACAAGTACCATATTTTAACGTCTTTTGGTATGACGCACTCGGGGATCGAACCCGCGACCTTCCGCACTCCGGGCGGACGTTCTAACCACTACACCACAGAGGCGGTCTGGGACAAACAGGGGAGACAATTCAGTTGCTGCAGGCAAACAAGGGGAGACAATGAGTATCTGAGACAAACAGGGGAGACAATTCAGTTACTGCAGGCAAACAAGGGGAGACAATTAGTATCTGGGACAAACGGGAGACAGTTCAGTTGCGGCAGGCAAACAAGGGGAGACAATTCAGTAGCTGTGGGCTTCCTGGGGTAGATTGTAAATATTCATATGCACATTACTCTGTCAACAGACTGACATGTGGAACAACGTGGCACTCTGTGGGTCTGATCGGCTGTGTTCGGTCCAGTCTGACGGAAATCAAGTTGGTGAACTACAGCAGGAATCTGTACAGGAGGCTGGAGGAAGAGGGACACGGCCTGGGTGAGTGGTCAACATGGTCAGCTTCTGGAACACAGTAAAGCTGAGCTAACAGCGGCAATCAGTAGACACTCTGAATAGAGGAAAATGTTATTGGTTACTGGGCAGGGGATTTGGCATCTCATTGTAAACTGCTTCTGTTTTGTACAGGGTGGAAACAGTGTGGCAGTATTTTACTGGCTCGGACCAAAGACCGAATGACAGACCTGAGGCGGAAACAAGCCATCAGCAGGTTAGATTTACTAATGTGACCATGTCTGAAGGCGACAAACTAGATCCTGTATAGTAACAACTGTATCTCTGAATCTCTGTTTTGTGTGTATAGGATACTTCCAAATTTGAAGCATCAGTGTCTTGATGTACCATAATTATGTTCCCATGATTGATTTGCCATTTCATGAGTTTGTCACAGGTACCACCAGCAGTGCAAGATATGCAAGATATACTAAACAATACACAAATATCAGGTACCATCACTTATTGGTATTATTGTCAGGTTGCTATTATTTATTCTGAAACATCACCTCTCTCTGTTGATGGCCATTTCAACTACAACCACATCTCATTTTATGTGATGGTTTCTCTTTAAAAAAATTGAAATTCTGAATGGAAGTGGTAAAGAAATTGAAACAATTTGATTTAAAAAGCTGATGTCTGAAAAGCTCAATGTCTTCTTTACACATCTTTCATCTGGATGGATCAGATCCCTTCAGGTTCATTTGTCCCCACCTTCTGTGGAGAGATTATCAGATGTCCTAACAGAGAGGTATTGTGTCGTCGGAGATGTCACAAATGTCACTCTGAGACTCATCTTCTTCCTATACAGATACGGTGGTGTGGAATCCCACATTGTGAGTCCGTCAGAGATCGCCGACATCAACCCTCTTGTACGCCATGAAGACTTAGTGGTGAGATCTACATTGTATTTAATCTGTCCAAGATAAGGGGTGTTCAGTTCAATGTACACCGTGAAGTGTTAGCACTGGACATCAACCCTCTTGTACGCCATGAAGACTTAGTGGTGAGATCTACATTGTATTTAATCTGTCCAAGATAAGGGGTGTTCAGTTCAATGTACACCGTGAAGTGTTACTTCTGGACATCAACCCTCTTGTACACCGTGATGACTTAGTGGTAAGATCTACATTGTATTTAATCTGTCCAAGATAAGGGGTGTTCAGTTCAATGTACACCATGAAGTGTTAGCACTGGACATCAACCCTCTTGTACGCCATGATGACTTAGTGGTGAGATCTACATTGTATTCAATCTGTCCAAGATAAGGGGTGTTCAGATCAATGTACACCGTGAAGTGTTACTACTGGACATCAACCCTCTTGTACACCATGAATACTTAGTGGTGAGATCTACATTGTATTCAATCTGTCCACGATAAGGGGTGTTCAGATCAATGTACACCGTGAAGTGTTTGTACTGAGGGCTAAAAGTTACGATGACCCTTCGTCTGTTGCACCACACCCATGCATGTCTCCGTCATCTTGTTGATTGGTGCCACTGAGGTGACTATTCCTTCCCTGTGAAACAAACAAAATGCAGTTGTCACTCTGTATGTGAATGTCTAATTAAAGGTTTATGATAACCTAGAAGTCACCCCAGTTTAGCTCCACTGAAGTGTCTTACCTAGCTAGTGGAACATCACAATGTCTACATGCTACTGAATGTTAGCCCAGGTGAGATAATCTAACCACTGGCTGGTTCTGTGCAGGGAGGCCTGTATGTACCAGAAGATGGCGTCACAACAGCCCCAGATGTTGCCATGGTGCTGAGTGGGCTGGCGAAACAGAAAGGTTGGTGTTTAAAGAGGACATGTTCCATGTCAACTTGTTATACAGATTTCATGTAAGTAATGTGTTGCATACAATGATCAAATAGTGAACCATTTTGTTAATGTTCAGATGTGACCCATTGAGAGCTGGCTACTATGACTTTAGCTTCACTATATCACAGAACAAATTCCACTTACTTGTGAATTGTATTACACTGAACTTAGCAGTACACGACCCATGTAATTGCAACTGATATGTAATGGAGACAAGAAGTAAGTTGTGGATGATATTGTCTTGACCTTGTGAAACAACCCCTTCCATCAGGGTACAAACACAACATGGTGACTAAGTCGGACCACGCTGACCACTGGTTTGCTGATTAAGATACTGCCCAGATAGCATTCGGAGGTGGCCCAGCGTTGGCAATGTTGGCAAAACCATTGCCAACATTGGGTCAATGTCTGAATGCTGTCTGGGTGAGTATTGTTTATCATCTGGAATATCTACCAGAGCTAGACTACACTAGGATCAAATAGGTTGAAGGTGAGCTTCAGTAGCTTGGTGTTGTGTGTTCCAGGAGTGAAGGTGATGGAGGGTGTGCAACTTGACAGAATTCTCACCAAAAATGACCGAGTCTATGCTGTGGAAACTTCCCTTGGTACAATCAACTGTGAATACTTCGTGAACTGTGGAGGACAGGTTGGTTTTACCTAGGTATCACAATGTTTGAGTGTGTCTCCAGGAGGTCTGCAGCTGATGAACTCATGTCGTAGCAGATCTTTCAGGGGTAGTCTTGTTTGTACAGTGTTGGTTTCTCCATTCCCAACTACTGGTTTGAATTTCTATGTGGTCACTGAAAGAAAAAAAATTGTACTCACTCACTGACTCTTTGATCACATATTTTCAAGTAACAGTTCAGTCTTTCCCAACCACGCTTATGGTATTTTGCTATGTGTGGTCATGTGATGAGGTACAATGCTATGTATGGTCATGTGATGAGGTACAATGCTTTGTGTGATGTGATGAGGTACAATGCTATGTATGGTCATGTGATGAGGTACAAAGCTATGTGTGATCATGTGATGAGGTACAATGCTATGTGTGGTCATGTGATGAGGTACAATGCTATGTATGGTCATGTGATGAGGTACAATGCTATGTATGGTCATGTGATGAGGTACAATGCTATGTATGGTCATGTGATGAGGTGCAATGCTATGTTTGGTCATGTGATGAGGTACAATGCTATGTATGGTCATGTGATGAGGTACAATGCTATGTGTTGTCATGTGATGAGGTACAATGCTATGTATGGTCATGTGATGAGGAACAATGCTATGTATGGTCATGTGATGAGGTACAATGCTATGTTTGATCATGTGATGAGGTACAATGCTATGTATGGTCATGTGATGAGGTACAATGCTATGTATGGTCATGTGATGAGGAACTATGCTATGTGTAGTCATGTGATGAGGTACAATGCTATGTATGGTCATGTGATGAGGAACTATGCTATGTGTGGTCATGTGATGAGGTACAATGCTATGTGTGGTCATGTGATGAGGTACAATGCTATGTGTGGTCATGTGATGAGGTACAATGCTATGTATGGTCATGTGATGAGGTACAATGCTATGTATGGTCATGTGATGAGGTACAATGCTATGTGTGGTCCTGTGATGAGGTACAATGCTATGTATGGTCATGTGATGAGGTACAATGCTATGTATGGTCATGTGATGAGGTACAATGCTATGTATGGTCATGTGATGAGGTACAATGCTATATGTGGTCATGTAAAGGGGTACAATGCTATGTGTAGTCATGTGATGAGGCACAATGCTATGTATGGTCATGTGATGAGGTACAATGCTATGTATGGTCATGTGATGAGGAACTATGCTATGTGTAGTCATGTGATGAGGTAAAATGCTATGTATGGTCATGTGATGAGGAACTATGCTATGTGTGGTCATGTGATGAGGTACAATGCTATGTGTTGTCATGTGATGAGGTACAATGCTATGTGTGGTCATGTGATGAGGTACAATGCTATGTATGGTCATGTGATGAGGTACAATGCTATGTATGGTCATGTGATGAGGTACAATGCTATGTGTGGTCCTGTGATGAGGTACAATGCTATGTATGGTCATGTGATGAGGTACAATGCTATGTATGGTCATGTGATGAGGTACAATGCTATGTATGGTCATGTGATGAGGTACAATGCTATGTATGGTCATGTGATGAGGTACAATGCTATGTATGGTCATGTGATGAGGTACAATGCTACTTGTAGTCATGTGATGAGGTACAATGCTATGTGTGGTCATGTGATGAGGAACAATGCTATGTATGGTCATGTGATGAGGTACAATGCTATGTATGGTCATGTGATGAGGTACAATGCTATGTTTTGTCATGTGATGAGGTACAATGCTATGTATGGTCATGTGATGAGGTACAATGCTATGTATGGTCATGTGATGAGGTACAATGCTATGTATGGTCATGTGATGAGGTACAATGCTATGTATGGTCATGTGATGAGGTACAATGCTATGTGTGGTCATGTGATGAGGTACAATGCTATGTATGGTCATGTGATGAGGTACAATGCTATGTTTTGTCATGTGATGAGGTACAATGCTATGTATGGTCATGTGATGAGGTACAATGCTATGTATGGTCATGTGATGAGGTACAATGCTATGTATGGTCATGTGATGAGGTACAATGCTATGTATGGTCATGTGATGAGGTACAATGCTATGTGTGGTCATGTGATGAGGAACAATGCTATGTATGGTCCTGTGATGAGGTACAATGCTATGTATGGTCATGTGATGAGGTACAATGCTATGTATGGTCATGTGATGAGGTACAATGCTATGTATGGTCATGTGATGAGGAACAATGCTATGTGTGGTCGTTGTGATGAGGTACAATGCTATGTATGGTCATGTGATGAGGTACAATGCTATGTATGGTCATGTGATGAGGTACAATGCTATGTGTAGTCATGTGATGAGGTACAATGCTATGTATGGTCATGTGATGAGGTACAATGCTATGTATGGTCATGTGATGAGGTACAATGCTATGTATGGTCATGTGATGAGGTACAATGCTATGTATGGTCATGTGATGAGGTACAATGCTACTTGTAGTCATGTGATGAGGTACAATGCTATGTATGGTCATGTGATGAGGTACAATGCTATGTATGGTCATGTGATGAGGTACAATGCTATGTGTGGTCATGTGATGAGGTACAATGCTATGTATGGTCATGTGATGAGGTACAATGCTATGTATGGTCATTTGATGAGGTACAATGCTATGTATGGTCATTTGATGAGGTACAATGCTATGTATGGTCATGTGATGAGGAACAATTCTATGTATGGTCATGTGATGAGGTACAATGCTATGTATGGTCATGTGATGAGGTACAATGCTATGTATGGTCATGTGATGAGGTACAATGCCATGTATGGTCATGTGATGAGGAACAATGCTATGTTTGGTCATGTGATGAGGTACAATGCTATGTTTGGTCATGTGATGAGGTACAATGCTATGTATGGTCATGTGATGAGGTACAATGCTATGTGTGGTCATGTGATGAGGCACAATGCTATGTGTAGTCATGTGATGAGGTACAATGCTATGTATGGTCATGTGATGAGGTACAATGCTATGTATGGTCATGTGATGAGGTGCAATGCTATGTATGGTCATGTGATGAGGTACAATGCTATGTATGGTCATGTGATGAGGTACAATGCTATGTTTTGTCATGTGATGAGGTACAATGCTATGTATGGTCATGTGATGAGGTACAATGCTATGTATGGTCATGTGGTGAGGTACAATGCTATGTATGGTCATGTGATGAGGTACAATGCTATGTTTGGTCATGTGATGAGGTACAATGCTATGTATGGTCATGTGATGAGGTACAATGCTATGTATGGTCATGTGGTGAGGTACAATGCTATGTATGGTCATGTGATGAGGTACAATGCTATGTGTGATCATATGATGAGGTACAAAGCTATGTGTGGTCATGTGATGAGGTACAATGCTATGTGTGATCATGTGATATGGATTATGTGTGATCCGGAGAAAAGAAAAAGAAAAATTTCCAGCATGTAACTGCTAGTATTACCAGGTCCTGTGGACATCCAGTCGAGATGTTGAAGCGGATTCCTCTGCAGGTTGTGAGTATGAACTAAATCGTAAATTATTGTCTGATGCAGTGGGCTCGTGAGATTGGCAAGAAGTCATCCCCGGAAGTGAAGGTTCCCCTACACTCCTGTGAACACTACTACATTGTCACCAAGCCTATTGAAGGTGTCCCCAGCAACATGCCAGGTAGGAGGGCTGTTACCAGACACTTTGTTACAGTACGTTACATATTTCACTAGTAAGGTCGCTACATTGTCACCAAGCCTATTGAAGGTGTCCCCAGCAACATGCCAGGTAAGAGGTCTGTAACCAGACACTGTGTTACAGTAGTTACACATCTCACTAGTAAGGTCGCTACATTGTCACCAAGCCTATTGAAGGTGTCCCCAGCAACATGCCAGGTAAGAGGTCTGTAACCAGACACTGTGTTACAGTAGTTACACATCTCACTAGTAAGGTCGCTACATTGTCACCAAGCCTATTGAAGGTGTCCCCAGCAACATGCCAGGTAGGAGGGCTGTAACCAGACACTGTGTTACAGTAGTTACATATCTCACTAGTAAGGTCGCTACATTGTCACCAAGCCTATTGAAGGTGTCCCCAGCAACATGCCAGGTAGGAGGGCTGTAACTACAAACTTATCTTGATATATATTGGCAGTAAGGTGACAATACCTGACACAATAACATCTTGCCATGTGAGCACTGCCAGTATGTTATAAATATATATATATGTAAATTGATTTCTGATTGAAGCATAGTTCCTGAAATACAAATGCAGTCTGTCACTTACCTGGACAGTGTGATTTTCAATACTGCTGACTGAAGCAGAAAATATAGCAGTAAGATACTAGCGGACACTAATACGGCTTGAGAGTGCAGGTTGATCAGTATATTGAGTCTACCCTGTTTCAGTTATTCGAGACTATGATGGTTACTGCTACTTTCCGGAATGGAATGGCGGTGTTCTTGCCGGAGGGTTCGAGCCGGTGGCCAAGCCAGTGTTCACTCATGGTATTCCAGACAAGTTTGAGTTCCAGCTGCTGCCAGAAGATTGGGACCACTTTCGTGAGTAGCTCCCGTGTACAGGACTCTACACAGTGAACAGAAACATGTCCAATACAAAAGGACTGTAATGCTATACCCTCCAATATCCATGCTTTAACTTTCATTCCTTAATAAATATGACAAGTTTACTGCCATGGACTGCCATGTGTAAATATAGTAATTGTACCCGAGACATCCAATGTGACCTTATGTTCAGGGACAATAACTGGTTAGGAGATACAATTTCTGTGGAAATGTTTGGTGGTATTCAAAGGTAAATGGCTTGGTGCGGTATGTGTTTTCCACTTTATTGTGTGATATGCACACTGGGTCAGCTGCAGCCCCAGGTTTGACTGGACAGTCTCCGATGCAGAGTTCATGTCTACAGCAATAGTGTTCTAGTCTCTTACTGTATATAGCAACAGGGATCTTGTATAGTAATACAGTTTCTATGTGTAACAACAGTGTTCCTGTCTATTACAACAGTGTTCCTGTCTATTACACCAGTGTTCCTGTCTATTACAACAGTGTTTCTGTCTATTACAACACTGTTCCTGTGCATAACAACAATGTTTCTGTCTATTACAACAGTGTTCCTGTCTATTACAACAGTGTTCCTGTGCATAACAACAATGATTCTGTCTATTACAACAGTGTTCCTGTCTATTACAACAGTGTTTCTGTCTGTTACAACACTGTTCCTGTGCATAACAACAATGTTTCTGTCTATTACAAAAGTGTTCCTGTGCATTACAACAGTGTTTTTGTATATTACAATAGTGTTTCTGTCTATTACAACAGTGTTCCTGTCTATTACAATAGTGTTCCTGTGCATTACAACAGTGTTTCTGTCTATAACAACAGTGTTCCTGTCTATTACAACAGTGTTCCTGTCTATTACAACAGTGTTTCTGTCTATTACAACAGTATTCCTGTCTATTACAACAGTGTTCCTGTGCATAACGACAATGTTTCTGTCTATTACAACAGTGTTCCTGTCTATTACAACAGTGTTTCTGTGCATAACAACAATGTTTCTGTCTTTTACAACAATGTTCCTGTCTATTACAACAGTGTTCCTGTCTATTACAACAGTATTCCTGTCTATTACAACAGTGTTCCTGTGCATAACAACAATGTTTCTGTCTATTACAACTGTGTTCCTGTGCATTACAACAGTGTTTCTGTCTATTACAACAGTTTTCCTGTCCATTACAACAGTGTTTCTGTCTATTACAACAGTATTCCTGTCTATTACAACAGTGTTCCTGTGCATAACAACAATGTTTCTGTCTATTACAACAATGTTCCTGTCTATTACAACAGTGTTCCTGTCTATTACAACAGTGTTCCTGTCTATTACAACAGTGTTTCTGTCTATTACAACAGTGTTTCTGTCTATTACAACAGTGTTCCTGTCTATTACAACAGTGTTTCTGTCTATTACTACAGTGTTGATGCCCATTACAACAGTGATTCTGTGTTGTTTGTAGAGGTTCTACTGGATGAGATCCTGTTCCGGATGCCCTGTTTGGAGACAGCGGAAGTGAGGCAGCTCATCAACGGTCCGGAGAGTTTCACACCTGACTCCAACTGGATCCTTGGAGAATCAGCCGAGGTAAATGGCACAGGAACATTTTACCAGTGTGTGCATCAGTAACATGCTTATTTCATCACAGGTGAAAGTGACATGTTATTTTCACCACATAAAATTCCTACCATTCATCTAATCCTCCTTGTGTTTGTGTGAGACAAGAAATTGTGAACCAGTGCTTTCAACTTAACACACAGATAGACAATTTGATATGTCTAAAATTTCCCAAAGCTACATTTAGTTTAATTAATGATTTCATGTTGTTGTGTATGTATGTTCCGCCTGTAGGCTCTACATTTTACAACAGAAATAATAATTCTGGTTGCCTTATTGATATACTTGAGGCTTTTATACTGGATCATTGGACTGATTTCACGTCATCACATGTATTACTTTGTGGGGATTTTAATGCTCGCATAGCTAATGAAAATAATCCAATCCTTGAGCAAAGTGTAGACTTTGGTAATGATGATGTATATATTGAAGAAGACAATGCCCCTGTCGAGCAGCGAAGCGTCACATGACTCTACTATTAATAGATTTGGACGCATTTTATTGGATTTGTGTTATGTTTGTCGAGTCTGTATATATTGAGCGGGAGAGTTGAAGGTGACAAAAAGTGAGTTTACTTATGTAGGAGAAAGGGGTTCTAGTGTTGTTGATTATTTTCGCATCTGTTAGTTTTTGAGTTTGTAGAAATGCTAAATGTTGGTGATCGGTTGGACTCTGACCATTTCCCCCTTGAGTTATCTTGCAGGTTTCCTTTAAGCAGTCATGCTAAGCGTACTGTAGATTGTGATGACCATGACGCTGACTTTAGATTTGTCTGGGATGAATCGAAGGTAGACTTATTTACTGCATCATTGAGACAGATGCTGCATATCAATGATTATAATTTATTAACTAAACTTGAAAATTCCCATGAAGAGGGCATTGCAGATTTTGTACATTGTCTTCTTCATTCAGCTTCAAGTATGAAAAGACAAATGAAGCATTTTGATCCTGGAACTAGTAAACCTAAATTGAATAAAGCTTGTGAACAAGCGAGGACAGAAAGCAGGAAAGCCCTAAGAAAATTTAGGCGATGTCGTAGTGAATATAATCGTAAAGGTTACTGCAGACTTAGAAACATTTATAAATCTTCTTGCAGAAAGTTCAAATATGATATCAATCGTCAAGACTTGAGCGACTTAATAACTCCTAAACAGCCCGAAACTATTTTGGAAAAATATCGTTCTCTGCAAAGTCGCTCTACCCCATAGTAAAATATATCGCAAACGGAATGGTTATGTCATTTTAAGAATCTCTTTTCCAAGGAAGATATTTCTTACGATGTTGACAATTGGTTATCAGATTGTGACAGCGATGTGCTAAGTGAAGAGTTTAACGATGTTGATAGGCTTGTGCTGGAATCACCTATTACGGAATATGATATACTGAATGCTGTGTCTCGTCTTAAAGTTGGTAAATCTGCTGGAGTTGATGGTGTTATTTCAGAAATGCTAAAATACTCATTACCTGACATTATGCCCTTCCTGGTTAAAATGTTCAATCGAATACATGTATTTGATACAGGTCGTTTCCCTTCCGTATGGGCGCAATCTATTATTATCCGTAATATAAAAGCGAAATGCACAAAATCCTGACAATTATAGGGGTATTTCTCTGACTAGTATTCTAGGTAAAACTTTTACATCTATTATCAACAGTAGGTTAACACAGTGGTCGAATATGAGAGATTTAATACCGGAACCTCAAGCTGGATTTAGAAAGGACTACTCAACATTTGATCATATATTTACCTTGTATGCTATTATTGAGAGATATTTATCCTTTATAGCGAAAGTTGTATGTAGCTTTTGTAGATTTCAAAAGCGTTTGATTCTGTAGATAGAGGTAGAATGTGGAAATGCTTAAGAAATATAGGTTTGAGAGGTAAAATGTATGGTATCATAAGATCGATGTATTCCAATGTAAAGTCATGTGTCCGCTGTGGCTATGGTGTAAGTGACTTTTTCGATTGTCCTGTCGGTCTGCGTCAAGGATGTATTTTAAGTCCTTTACTTTTCTCCTTTTTCATTAACGATTTATATTTAGATATCATGAAGTCTGGTAAACATGGCATCCAACTCTCTCCCGATGTAATCGAACTTTTTATGTTATTATTTGCTGATGATGTCATTCTTATGTCCAGCTCTGTAATTGGTCTTCAAAATCAAATAGATATACTCTCAGCGTATACAGATAAATGGCAGTTGAGTGTGAATCTAGATAAAACAAACATCGTTATATTCGAAGAGGTGGTCCTTTGTCGGCTAGAGAGAAATGGTTTTTAAAGATAAGCGTATGAATGTTGTGAATGATTATAAATACCTTGGCATATTGTTTACCCATACGCTGAATCTGAATAAGTCCGTACTTAACCTGGCGAGGAGAGCAAAGAAAGCTCTTTTACAACTTCACTCTGTTGTTCCTATGCTCGGTCTTGTTCCACCGACTATTTACTTCAAATTATTTGACTCTCAGATACAACCGATTCTACTGTATGGATCTGAAATGTGGGGTTTTAAAGAGTATTATACCATAGAAAAATTCATTTGCTTGCCTGTAAAAGTTTCTAAATGTTGGTTTGTCAACACCAAATGTTATGGTTTATGGTGAATGTGGGAGGTTCCCATTGTACATATCATCTTATTGTCGTTGTTTAAAATATTGGTGTAAAATAATTAATATGCCTGAACATCGTTTACCTAAAAAGCTTTCAATATGCTTTTACATCTTGATTATCTTGGAAAGAATAACTGGACATCTCATATTAAGCACCTTACTATTTAGATATGGTTTTGGTTGTATTTGGTTATCACAGACAGTTGGCAATGCAAATATGTTTATTAAACAGTTTAAATTATCGCGAGGGCTATTGATATGTTTAAGCAGGAATGGCATTCAACTATTAATGAAAGTTCTAGATACGATTCATATCGTCAGTTTAAGTCGTTGCTTGAGCCAGAGTGTTATCTTGCTCACCTTCAATACAGAAATATTCGCAATGCTTTTATACGGTTTAGATTAGGCCTTAATGATTTATTAATTAACCGTGGAAGATATGTTTCTATGGAAAAAACCCAAAGATTATGTCCATTCTGTTTTATTATTGAAGACGAATTCCATTTTATGTTTATTTGTCCTGTATATGAAAATCTAAGAAATAAGTATCTACCGCAACTGTCTTTATCTCAAATCAACGTTAATCTATTGTCTTCCTTACTTTCCAGCAAAGAACCTCCAAAACAACACAAAGTTGCTCTATTTATCTACAATGCATTTTTGTTAAGAAAAGAATTGATTAGTTAGAAAATTGATTATATATGCCATTGTCAAGATGTATCTCTTTTGTATATGGGCCTATGGCCTTTCATACAATAAAATATTGAATTGAATTGAATTGACAATATTGCTTCCATTTTTAACAATTTTTTAATAATCAAGCAATGTTGAGTTGAGTCTGGTCTAGTGCTGCAGGCGTGAATACTGGTGTCATGATTGTTGTGTTGACCGGGTTGTTTATCGTCCTGTTGACTGGACTGTTGACTAGTGGGTATACTGGTCTGTTGACTGGAGTGTTGACTAGTGGGTATGCTGGCCTGTTGACTGGAGTGTTGACTAGTGGGTATACTGGCCTGTTGACTGGAGTGTTGACTAGTGGGTATGCTGGCCTGTTGACAGGAGCGTTGACTAGCAGGTATACTGGCCTGTTGACTAGAGTGATGACTAGTGGGTGTGCTGGCCTGTTGACTGGAGCGTTGACTAGTGGGTATGCTGGCCTGTTGACTGGAGTGTTGACTAGTCGGTATACTGGCCTGTTGACTGGAGTGTTGACTAGTCGGTATGCTGGCCTGTTGACTGGAGTGTTGACTAGTGGGTATACTGGCCTGTTGACTAGAGTGTTGACTAGTCGGTATGCTGGCCTGTTGACAGGAGCGTTGACTAGCAGGTATACTGGCCTGTTGACTGGAGTGTTGTCTAGTGGGTAAACTGGCCTGTTGACTAGAGTGTTGACTAGTGGCTATACTGGCCTGTTGACTGGAGCGTTGTCTAGTGTGTATACTGGCCTGTTCACTGGAGTGTTGACTAGTGGGTATGCTGGCCTGTTGACTGGAGTGTTGACTAGTGGGTATACTGGCCTGTTGACTGGAGCGTTGTCTAGTGTGTATACTGGCCTGTTCACTGGAGTGTTGACTAGTCGGTATGCTGGCCTGTTGACTGGAGTGTTGAGAAAAGCGTTGACTAGTCGGTATGCTGACCTGTTGACTGGAGTGTTGAGAAAAGTGTTGACTAGTCGGTATGCTGACCTGTTGACTGGAGTGTTGACTAGTCAGTATACTGGCCTGTTGACTGGAGTGTTGACTAGTGGGTAAACTGGCCTGTTGACTGGAGTGTTGACTAGTCGGTATGCTGGCCTGTTGACTGGAGTGTTGAGAAAAGCGTTGACTAGTCGGTATGCTGACCTGTTGACTGGAGTGTTGAGAAAAGTGTTGACTAGTCGGTATGCTGACCTGTTGACTGGAGTGTTGACTAGTCAGTATACTGGCCTGTTGACTGGAGTGTTGACTAGTGGGTAAACTGGCCTGTTGACTGGAGTGTTGACTAGTCGGTATGCTGACCTGTTGACAAAAGCGTTGACTAGTCGGTATACTGGCCTGATGACTGGAGCGTTGACTAGTGGGTATACTGGCCTGTTGACAAAAGCGTTGACTAGTCGGTATGCTGACCTGATGACTGGAGTGTTGACTAGTCAGTATACTGGCCTGTTGACTGGAGGGTTGACTAGTGGGTAAACTGGCCTGTTGACTGGAGTGTTGACTAGTCGGTATACTGGCCTGTTGACTGGAGTGTTGACTAGTGGGTATACCGGCCTGTTGACTGGAGTGTTGACTAGTGGGTATGCTGGCTTGTTGACTGGAGCGTTGACTAGTCGGTATACTGGCCTGTTGACTGGAGTGTTGACTAGTGGGTATACTGGCCTGTTGACTGGAGGTTTGACTAGTGGGTATGCTGGCCTGTTGACTGGAGTGTTGACTAGTCGGTATACTGGCCTGTTGACTGGAGCGTTGACTAGTGGGTATACTGGCCTGTTGACTGGAGTGTTGACTAGTGGGTATGCTGGCCTGTTGACTGGAGTGTTGACTAGTGGGTATACTGGCCTGTTGACTGGAGTGTTGACTAGTGGGTATGCTGGCCTGTTGACTGGAGTGTTGACTAGTGGGTATACTGGCCTGTTGACTGGAGTGTTGACTAGTGGGTATGCTGGCCTGTTGACTGGAGCGTTGACTAGTCGGTATACTGGCCTGTTGACTGGAGTGTTGACTAGTGGGTATGCTGGCCTGTTGACTGGAGCGTTGACTAGCAGGTATACTGGCCTGTTGACTGGAGTGTTGACTAGTGGGTTGGCCAGAGCAGTGTCTTTAGTATTGACTGGCATGTTGACTGGCGTGTTAACAATCATATATGTTTGCAATCATGTTGACTGGCGTGTGTTGGCTGGCTTGCTGACCAGCGTGTTGACCCGCGTGTTGACTGTCGTGTTGCAGGTGGCAAACTACTTTGTGGCGGCAGGAATGAACTCCCGGGGGATTGCTGGAGCTGGGGGTGTTGGCAAGTACCTGACAGAGTGGATCTTGGATGGGGAGCCAAGCATTGACCTGTGGGCACACGATGTCCGACGCTTAGCTGGTCTCCATAACAACAAGCGCTTCCTGCGAGATCGAGTCAAGGAGGTCCTAGGTAATCTATCTTGTCTCATCCTTTGGAACAGAAACTGTCAACACTAAACACATGACTACCATGATAAATTACTGGGATCTGGGTTTATTCTAGAACCTTCAAACTTGTAACAATTCAGAAAGGTGAAATTAGTCCATAGCAGTTTAACTGTTGTTGATAGCTTTATGTTAGCTTTTGTTCGCTTTTGAAATAATGTAATTTATAACTGAATTGTGCCTATCCATACCATAATTTATTTCATGCCAAGAAGCTTTTGAGGGAAAAAGACATCCTTTCACTTCAAGCATATTCCTTTGCAACATGTGTGCTGCCTTTGCTTGCCACTCTCTGCATTATGTAAAGCCAGTATTATTCTACAGTAGAGAATGACTCAGAGTAAACCAATGGGCTTTGTAAACTGATATGTTGAGGCTAATAGAATTTATCTGCTCTGTGCATTTTCAGGATGTGAAGAACGTAAGGATGGAAGTAGTATCTGCTTTAAGACTGCAAGATCAGATTTGCATAGTTTGAAATACTAAGTGTTCTGTTTGATATTGGAAATGTAGTCCTTAAATCTGCCTTGCCATGTGTGAAGAAAGCAGACCTGTTAAGAACTTGTTATTGTTGAAAATGGATGAATGAATTGTGAAAAGGTTCCATCCCCATCTATATACTATATTAAGCTTTACATTGCTGGGAAACAGCAATATATTGAATAACACTTTCATGGAATATAACAACAACAACAACAACAACAACAACAACAACAACAACAACTGAGTTCAGACAAAATGGAAGAAATACCCCCCATCCCCCACCCCCACTGGTAAAAATACAGTTAGCTTAGCAACTCTGATCTTGCATGGAAATACTAATTGTGTAAATGATTTTATATTGTCACTATATTTTATCACTTTATCCTGCATATTGGCAAATATGATTTTGCCGCTTACTGAGCTAACAAAGGTAAAAGTGAATTTGACCAAAGGAATCAGATAAGTTATGCTAATGATATTTAAATCATTTTTTTTTATTATCTAACAACCTAACAACTGCCTTACACTGACTGAGTGTAAACTACTCACAGTTTACCGTTCATCCCTGGAGGACACTCTGGGATTGAGCAGGAATACTTGGCGTTATTCCCAACTCACTGTGGCCCCAGATTTTGTTTTTGTTGTGTGATGTCACTGTCAACTTTAGATACTGGGACAATCACAGGTTAAAGTCACTTTGTGAAACATGACTCTGTCTCACATCATTATAGGATTATCCCCTTGTGAAAATCTCACCTGTGGTTGCATGTTTAGTTTGACGGTTACCTCCCCTAGTTTTGAACAAAACAACCTTAGTACTTTGACTGTCGTAAGTCTATGTTAAGGTATGGCAGGTAACCATAGTGCTGAGATTGTACATCCTCTTTCCATGAAGCAGTCTCAGCATTGGGATACCATTGTGGGTGTAATGATTCTATATGATCCCCAGAATCAGATCATATACCATACATTAACTACATGGGTCTGGCGAGTTACATCTGGCCTCTGTCTTGGTTCAAGTGTGTCAATGCTCATGTATTGGAGTAGTGCACCTTCAGCTACTGTAGTGTCAGGACTGTAGAACATTTGAAGTCGTGGCTTGGAGGCCAGGGTGGTCGGTAGGGGATCCTTCATCATCCTGGATCTATACACACAGAGATCAGGTGGTTTGCATGCTTGCTTTATCTGGCATTATTAACAACACCATCCACACCATTGCCCATCCCTGTATTTACTGGCATACAGTCTCTCGCTTTCACTGACCATACTTGGCGCATGTTTAAATCACTGCAGTACTGATGTCCGCTTAAGTCTCCACACCTCGTAGGGATCACATTCAATATTGTTTGTCACTTGTATTACAGGCTTGCTTTTTAATGAGAAATTCCTTCTTGAAATTTGGCAGCTGGTAAAGAATAAGGGAGAATTTTCTAAAGATCTGTACAAGGCAGATTCAAGTCAAACATCAATAACCAAATCAACATGTTACCATGGTTACACAGGTGTTGGCATCATAATGTAAAAACTGATGCCTCATTTTTAGATGTCCAGTTATTTCAGTTTTGAATCGTTTATATTTGTAATTTTTCCTTATCCTGACTCATGCTAATTATGCTTGTCTCCTTCCTCTTGCGAATGATGGTGGAACACTTGAAATCCCTTGAAGTTCCCTTTTAAAAAGCGGACTTAAAATCACTCACCCAGAGTAGCGTCCCTTCCTCCCTTTGGCGCCCTTTTGGTCACCTGACCGACCATGCCTTGTCACTCTCTCCTTCTTCGCCCTTAAGGACGGTTGTGAGAGCACCTGGGTCTCTATACGGCACATATCCTTTTATATTTTCGGACCTTACATCAAAATTATTGCTGTATACGGTTTTTAGGATTATATTCTACATTACGGTTTGAAATTTGTTCTAAATTTTCCATTTGACATGTGTTTTCTTCATGTTTACAATTGATGAAAACTTGTATTCGTTATAGGTACCGAGTGTCTGCGGCTGACCCTCATTTATTATGTCCTAATTGCACTGTTTCATGTTCTTTCAGCTCTCGCTGTTAGTATTGTGTAAAATTAAATTCGGTTGAATTTAATAATTACCTTTTTTCCATCCATAGACGTGCTAAGGACTGGGTACGTAGGTATTCACAAGTCATGTCTAAATCAAGTGATTGCGCTGATAACCGTGTGTTAACCACTGCTGCAGATATTCATAATTCTAGTGAATTGCTGAACGTTTCTCAGGAGCAGGTTGATGTACCAGGGGTGAACATCGGAGGCCATAAGAGATCATCGTCTACTGAGCTGACCTCATCGCAGATGAAGAAGGCCAAATCTTCATCTTCGCAGAAGAAGAAGGCTACTACCATGAAGACTTCAGCGAAGTCTAAGATCAGCTCTACACAGAAGACGAGGTCTTTCTCAGCCGAGATTGTTCCTCCAGAAGAAGCAGATGTTTATGATGATCCACCCATCCTCATACCTGAAGTCACCATCGTCAGTAAGAAGACGAAGCCTGCTTCTACAGCTACATCGGCATTGGTATCAGCGCAGACATTGACAGAAGACCTACTATCAACGCAGACATCGGGTACCAGAGATAGCAGCAGCATCAACTCTTCACGAGTGCAGCGAGCCTTAGATGACGTCTCTTCAGTATCAGATGCATCATCCCTGCAGCAGTCTCTTCAGACAACGCAGAACTTCAACCTGGGACTGTTCATGCAACAGTTTACAGACCAGATGATGTCGATGATGGAATGTTGCTTTGCTCAAGAGAAGGCTGCAATGAAGACCTCTACAACATCTACTAGCCTGCCTGAAGGCTCTACAGTCTCCCCACCACATCTGGATGAAGAGGGAAACCTGCACGAAGGCTCACGGACATGACGATCTTCCCCATCTGAAGTAGACGCCCCAGAGAGTGCTGCTAAGAAGTCTCCACGCAGGAAGGAATCAAGGCGTTCTCCCGAACCCTACAGATGTCGCAGATATGAATCGTCATCTCCATCGGACTCTGACACCCATCAAGAGCCTGCGCGAAGGCACTCCTACAGAGGGGAAGCTACGTCCAGGAATCCACCTTCGCGAAGGTCTATAAAATTATCTCAAACCTCCAGGAAGGATTCAAGATCACATCGGGATTGATCGCCTGCGCGAAGCTCATCTTATAGATCATGTTATAGAGACTCAAGTCGTCGTGCATCCTTAGAGCGAGAGATGTCTAAATCAGAGGATGAAGGTGAAGGCGTCTTCTCCGATACGGAAATTAACTCCTGGATCGCCAATGGCTCGGACTTCTCATCACCTTCTAAGGACACAGATGAGGCGTTTACCTACAAGATGTCCAAAGATGATTTCGACACACTCACTTTTCCACCGACCAACCTGATCTCTCAAGTACTAGACAACCTCAATGCAGCTTTTGATAAAGCCACCAAGTCGCAGAGTCAACACGTCCCGACATTCAACGCAAGGAAATTCCCTCTACATAGGATGGAACCCTTCCTGAAGGCTCCAGAGGTTGATGATGACTATAAGATTATCACCGATTCCTGTCAAAGAACTTACAAAATTGAGGATAAGAAGTTAGCGCAGCTGGATACAACCACCAGCTATCCACTGGGCTACTTTCTTTGGATTAGCCAGATTGAGGGCTATCAATCTCCCCAAACACTCATCTCTCTACAGTTCAAGAATTCCTATTGGCTGTAGAAGACAGGACTGTTATGCAGAAATACTGAGACCATCAATTTATGTCTCGGAGCACCTAGCATCCATCTCCCTATCAGCTGGCTTAGACTCTACTGAGCTTAGACATCTCCATATCCGGTATTGTCAGCATGCACTTGAGTGAACGCTTCACATACAAGTCTCTAGTACACAGAGCCCCATTGTCCTGTCATCATCTTACATCTCCTCGGAGGTTGTCCTGTCTCTAAGACACTACTGAGCCAGAGAAGTCTCTCATGACTACACTACTGGGAAGTTATGATGATCAAATCCATCGACACCTTGGCTATCATCCCCATACTGAGTGAGCCATCAGATGTCCTAACGCTACAACGCTACAAATCTAAGTTTGCAGGAGTCCAGAGAGCCAGAGAAAAAGTCTTCCATCCACAGCCGTTCCTGTACAACCTTCGACAGTGGGTGGACGTCTTCAACGGTACTGGGAGAATTGGGAGATACTATAGGACGACTACGTATCCCAGATACTGCGCAACGGGTACAAGATACAGTTGGAAGCCACTCCGCCGCTCACAACTACGGCCTTCAACTACGAGAGAAACTGGACGGTGCTATCAAGACCCTACTCGACAAAGAGGCAGTAGAAGAGATAGATCAAGATCTCATCACGCCCGGGTTCTACTCCCCAATTTTCCTGGTACTGAAGAAGAATTCCAAGGAGAAATTTGGGCTCATCTACAACATGAGGAAGTTCAACCGGGAGTATCTACGCAGACCAGCAAAATTCAAGATGATACATCTTCCTCAGCTCCGACATCTCGTTCGTCCAGCAGACTACCTCGCCAGCATAGATCTGCAAGATGCGTACCTACACATCCGATACATCCAGACTCAAGGAAATACCTACGTTTCCTTTTCAACGGACAGCACTTCCAGTGGAAGGTTCTACCGTTTGGAATATCGTCGGCCCCCTGGTTGTTTACTCGAGTGACCAAGCCCATCGTCACATATCTTCATCGTCGAGGTCTATGCAGTGCTTTCTGCCTGGACGACGGGATTCAAGCTCATCAAGATCCCAGTCAACTCAGACTGTAACTAGACTTCACCATCAGGCTGCTCACTCAACTAGGATGGCTAGTGAATCTCCTCAAGTCGGAACTGGAGCCAAGCCAAATTTGCAATTCCTAGGAATTCGACTCATCACACCAGTGAATCGTATAGTCGTTCCAGATGATCGTTGGGTCAAAATACAACAAATGATATCTCAAGCATTGCTTTCTCCATGGCAAAGCATGCTAGGTCTACTCACCTTAGCTCAAGACATGACTCGCAGAGGGAGATTACAGTTGCGCCCACTACAAGTATTTGTGAACGCCCACCTAGACAGCCTAGATCCGTTAATACTACCAGATAGCCTGAAACCATATCTCCTATGGTGGACTCTGAAGTCGAACGTTTGCCGAGGAACCTTTTTGTCAAAGCTGGTTTGCAACACTCATCTCTACGTGGATGCCTCCCTACAAGGATGGGGTGCGCATTTCAACAACGAAGTGGCAGCAGGGAAGTGGTCGAGTCCGGATCAGAAGTCACACATCAATCTGTTGGAGATGAAAGCAGTAATCAACGCTTTACAACATTGGTCCAGCGTACTAAAGAACGCACGACTCATGGTACACACATACAACCCCACAATGGCGTTTTACATCAACAAACAAGGGTCAACAAGATCAAGAAGTCTGCTACAACTCAGCTTTCTCCTGTCCAGCATAGTCGACGACCTGAACATCTACATGAAGGCATGCCACATCCCGGGAGCAAAGAATATCATAGCAGACGCCCTATCTCGTCCACTACAACCATCCCCGACGGAATGGATGTTGCATCCAGAAGCATTCCAGTTCATCAGACAGACTTTAGGATCCCCACTAATAGACCTGTTTGCAACAAAGTTCAACAAACAGCTACCAACGTTCGTCTCACCGATTCCAGATCCTCAGGCATGGGCAACAGATGCTCTAAGCATCTCATGGGAAGGACTAAACGCTTACGTGTTTCCGCCTCCTTCACTGCTACCACAAGTACTACAGAAAATCAAGCAGACCACTATGTTGCACCTGATTTTGGAATTACTTACTGGCCAGCGAGGGTATGGTTCCCATCCCCATATGAGAACTCGGAAGTCCAACCCTGAAACTACCAGAGTGGTCGAACCTACTCGTCCATCCACACACCAAGCAAGCTCACGGGAACCCGACACTGTTCCAGCTACACGCGTGGAGCGTATTAAAGCTTGCCTGAAGACCAGAGGATACTCTGCCAGAGCAGCTAAAGCAGTTACACTAGCTCTACGCAGATCAACTCACAAATTGTACGACGACAAGTGGCAGAAATTTGAACAGTATGCAAAGAGGAAAGGCTTTCCAGCGGTGAAAGCAACACATCCTCAAGTGGCGGAATACTTATGTCATCTTTGACAGAAGAGACACTTAAAAGGTTCAACACTCTCAACTTACTTGGCTGCCCTCAGTACAGTTATCACCATGGAAAGGGGTATCAAGCTGACCAACGTACCAGAGATTCTGGCACTACTACGCTCGTTCAAGTTGGAAGACCAACAAAAGAAATTTAAGGCTCCTGCCTGGGATCTCAACATAGTTCTACAACATCTCACCAGTGATGCCTACGAGCCTCTAGAGCGGACATCCTTTGAGCTACTAACTCAGATCGCCCAACCAACAGCTGCACGGATGTCAGTATACATGCTCTGGACTTTGAACGAACATGATTTGAAACAAGACATCGTACATCTTGGACTGAGATGGGATTTTATCGCCAAGAACCAACTGCCCGGTCAGCCTGACAGACAATTCCACATGCCAGCACTATCTACAGTCCTTGGGCCACAGGATACGCAGGATCTATCCTTATGCCCAGTCAGAGCACTTAAAGTCTACCTACAGAGAACTAAAACAAGGAGACGAAAATTCAAGCGCCTATTCATCCCCTTATCTACTGAGACGCCCACGGAAGTGTCACGGACCTATAAAGCAGCAGGACTTGAGCCTCCATGAGCCTCCAATCCCCACGAAGTCAGAGCCCTGGCGTCTACACTTGCTCTGCATGGAAACTGCTCGATTACAACTATAATGGAGGGCTGCTTTTGGAGATCAAACAGAGTGTTTGCCAACCACTACCTCAGAGACATTGCCACTGAAGACGTCTCAGGCATTCATCAGTTTGGGCCACTTGTTGTAGCACAGCAACTAAGATTCCACAAACGCGCTGAGTAAATCTCACCCCTTTTATCACGTGTCTCGTGAAAACCAACGCTCTGGAGAGCAATGGCTATAAGTCCATGCACACGTCTAGGACAGGCTAGCATGAGTGATAGACCCTGTACTTGTATAGGACATACTCGTACATGAAGAAGGGTCGCATCTCCACTTGATGTGTGCATCAAGAGATGGAGTTGCAATAGATAACTAATGGAATATTAGTATATCTAAATCTACACGAAAATGTCAGGAGAAGTTGCGGAAGAAATCTGACATGTTGGGGTTCCCCCCAGACTCATCAGAGAGAAGTTGAAAGAACAGAATCTTCAACAATGCCGTCATAAGTTCCCATGGGGGGTAATACAGGACGTAAATCTACAACTAGTGAATCCAGAACGTGGCCTGACCCACCACCTTTTTCAGACGGATTCTGCAAGCATAATTAGCATGAGTCAGGATAAGGAAAAATATGTAATTTTCTGACTAAAATTGATATTTTATACTTATCCTGACTCATGAGGTTAGCCCTCCCAACCTCCCCTCTTATAGCACTCTGGATTTCCCTGTAAATCCGGGTGTCGGGCTTTCATACGGAGAGAGTGACAAGGCATGGTCGGTCAGGTGACCAAAAGGGCGCCAAAGGGAGGAAGGGACGCTACTCTGGGTGAGTGATTTTACGTCCGCTTTTTTAAAGGGAAACTACAAGGGATTTTAAGTGTTCCACTATCATTCACAAGAGGAAGGAGACAAGCATAATTAGCATGAGTCAGGATAAGTATAAAATATCAATTTTATTCAGAAAATTACATTTTTGTGGGCAAAATACTTATTAAACTTGACAAAGTTAATACAAGTTGAAAGGAAGTTCATGGTCTGATCTGTTACCATGATAAACTCAGGTTGTGATTTCAGGGATGACACCTGACAACCATGACGATGATGATGATGATGATGATGTTAGGTAAGCATCATGTCGAGTCCCAACCTGACGTTCATGTTGTTTCTGTGTGTGTCTGCAGGTGCCCAGTACTCCCTCAGCTACCCCCGACAGTCCGAGTATATGACAGGGCGACGACTGCGGACATCCCCCCTCCACACGCGGCTGGAGGTGGCCGGGGGGTACTTCGGGGAGACCATGGCCTATGAGAGAGCTGTGTGGTTTTCCAGACTCGGACAAGGTAATTAACCCATAACATTACACAAGGTGAAAGATTATTCCTTACCCTGTTATGTGAAACATTTGCAGATGTTGTGGGCACAATGACAGAACCTGACCAAGCATTTGGAAGTTTAAGATTATTCACTGATTTGCGGAAACAGTCAATAATGAAGGAGACTAGAAACTACTATCCATATAGAGCATTATGTCTCTGCGTGCTGCATCAGGTCCATGTAGGACACTCACATTTTTTTGTGTTTCCACTCTTCAACCTCAACTAGCAGGACATCAGGCAGGTGAAAATAATGGGAAACCTACCATCCATCCATCCATCCATCCATCCATCCATCCATCCATCCATCCATCCATCCATCCATCCATCCATCCACACACATCCACACACACACACACACACACACACCAGCTGCTCAAAGGCTTTGTTTTTCCCTCGTTCACTGGGTGTCAATCTCAACGGCACATCGTATTGTCAATCTCAACTCCCTGGGGAGCATACAACTCTTGCAGCCACTAGGCAGGTGAAAATAATTGGAAAAACATGAGTACTAAAACTATTCCTGATTACATCTCTAACTTATTTCAAGGCGTACGGTTGGGAACTGTAAAGAGAAATAATATGCGGTATTATTATATTTGTGTCCCAGATGAGGACATTGACTCCGACACCATCAGTCACCGAGGGACTTTTGGGAAGCCGACATGGTTCGACAGCGTCCAGGATGAGTACTGGGCGTGCAAGGAGAGGGTCTGTCTCATCGACATGTCCTCATTCGCCAAGTTTGTCATCAAGGTAGCTCATTGGATGCACGTGCTTTATTTTTCTGAGAGGAGTACAGAAACCAAAAAAGGGCAGATATTTGCCTGTCTTTGTCTTCTCATGTCGACCAAAAATTATAAAGCATATAGAATGTTTTCCTCATGGTAAAAGTGATGCAAGACAGTTACTGTCAGGTACCAGTCTGTTTTATCTAAAGGATTTAGATGAAGCACACAACACTCTTGCCTGGATTGATGAAGCATTGAGGTGCAGCTTGAGACATCTTGTGTGTGTGGAGTTACTGAGCTTATACATATCCCTATACTGTTGTCCTGTCTCTAGTCTACACTACTGAGCTTATACATCTCCCTATACTGTTGTCCTGTCTCTAGTCTACACTACTGAGCTTATACATCTCCCTATACTGTTGTCCTGTCTCTAGTCTACACTACTGAGCTTATACATCTCCCTATACTGTTGTCCTGTCTCTAGTCTACACTACTGAGCTTATACATCTCCCTATACTGTTGTCCTGTCTCTAGTCTACACTACTGAGCTTATACATCTCCCTATACTGTTGTCCTGTCTCTAGTCTACACTACTGAGCTTATACATCTCCCTATACTGTTGTCCTGTCTCTAGTCTACACTACTGAGCTGATACATCTCTATACTGTTGTCCTGTCTCTAGTCTACACTACTGAGCTTATACATCTCCCTATACTGTTGTCCTGTCTCTAGTCTACACTACTGAGCTTATACATCTCCCTATACTGTTGTCCTGTCTCTAGTCTACACTACTGAGCTTATACATCTCCCTATACTGTTGTCCTGTCTCTAGTCTACACTACTGGGCTTATACATCTCCCTATACTGTTGTCCTGTCTCTAGTCTACACTACTGGGCTTATACATCTCCCTATACTGTTGTCCTGTCTCTAGTCTACACTACTGAGCTTATACATCTCCCTATACTGTTGTCCTGTCTCTAGTCTACACTACTGGGCTTATACATCTCCCTATACTGTTGTCCTGTCTCTAGTCTACACTACTGAGCTTATACATCTCTCTATACTGTTGTCCTGTATCTAGTCTACACTACTGAGCTTATACATCTCTCTCTATACTGTTGTCCTGTATCTAGTCTACAATACTGAGCTTATACATCTCCCTATACTGTTGTCCTGTCTCTAGTCTACACTACTGAGCTTATACATCTCCCTATACTGTTGTCCTGTCTCTAGTCTACACTACTGAGCTTATACATCTCTCTATACTGTTGTCCTGTCTCTAGTCTACACTACTGAGGCTTATACATCTCTCTATACTGTTGTCCTGTATCTAGTCTACACTACTGAGCTTATACATCTCCCTATACTGTTGTCCTGTCTCTAGTCTACACTACTGGGCTTATACATCTCCCTATACTGTTGTCCTGTCTCTAGTCTACACTACTGAGCTTATACATCTCACCATACTGTTGTCCTGTCTCTAGTCTACACTACTGGGCTTATACATCTCCCTATACTGTTGTCCTGTCTCTAGTCTACACTACTGGGCTTATACATCTCCCTATACTGTTGTCCTGTCTCTAGTCTACACTACTGAGCTTATACATCTCCCTATACTGTTGTCCTGTCTCTAGTCTACACTACTGAGCTTATACATCTCCCTATACTGTTGTCCTGTCTCTAGTCTACACTACTGAGCTTATACATCTCCCTATACTGTTGTCCTGTCTCTAGTCTACACTACTGAGCATATACATCTCCCTATACTGTTGTCCTGTCTCTAGTCTACACTACTGAGCTTATACGTCTCCCTATACTGTTGTCCTTTGTCCAGTCTGCAGGTAGAGAGGCAGTGGACTTCATGCAGTATCTGTGCTCCAACGACATCGACCAGGACATCGGCAACATCGTCCACACTGGGATGCAGAATGAGCGAGGAGGCTTCGAGAACGATTGCAGTATAGTCCGGATGGAGGAAAACAGGTTAGAGGAGGAAAGTGTTCAAGTCAGTGGCGACGGTTTGAGACCATGGATGTTTGTGTGTTTGTCACTGTAGATGATTTCAGGTTGTGAAAATATCAAAATTTGGTTATCTCTCTTCAAATATACACTGAAACATCAGTCTTTAATTGTAAATTAACAAGACGATCTGGACTTGTGTTGGGGCATGTTAAAGGCAACACTATATGCAAAGTGACTCAGTTACCTCGTGATGATGTCCAAATAAACTACGCCCTTCACTGTTGTCAGTTTCTTCATGATCTGCCCAACTACACAACAGACCCGGGCGTTGGCATGGTTACGTCACCACCTGCCACCAGATGGCTCTGTGCAGGTGGAGGATGTGACGTCAATGTACTCTGGGATCAACATGATTGGTCCTCACGCCCAGCATCTCCTGGCCGATGTGTCTGACACGCCCACGGACAAAAACGAGTTCAAGGCGATGACTAGTAAAGTAGGTATCTTCTGAATAATCTGTTAGGTCGATGTGTTGTGTTATCGTGTTATTGTTTAATGCCGTATCTAGCAATAATCCAGCTACATGGCTGTGGTCGGTAAATAATCCCATCTGGACCAGACAGCCCAGTGACTGACATGAACATCAATGTTAGCATTAGGGATATGATGACACACATGTATCTTTAACGTTTACCTACTAACACTTGTTGGTGGAGGGATCACGATTCACCAATCTGTTGATCCACTGCCAAATCAACCCAATGATACGATTACATAAGGGACCTGTTTTATAGTTTTCCCAGAAATTATTGAGAAAGTTGTTTCGGCAAATATCTAATACATGTATATAAACTATAGACGTGTTACTTAAATTAATGTGTAGATATATGATTCTCTTACAGTCTAAGTGTCTCTTTAGTACTTTGTGACGACAAGGTACATTATTCAACCACATTTCAGATCCCAATATTTCCAAGTCCATTTTGTTTATTCTCATTTAAATGTCAACATATCAAGTGAAAAGCACAACAGCGTCACTCCACGTGATGATATCCCATCCCACATGTGAAATTACAGGCTGTTTTTGGCGTTTGTAGATAGGCTTCACGGAATTTTCCCCCAAAATTTTCAGACAGTTTGGAAAAACCCAGACAGAACTTTCATCAGAAAAGAAAACATTATCCCAATCTAGATTTTCGTGTTTAAAAGTCTTTCTTTCATGCGTATTTCATCAATGGTAAGGGAATTCCGCTTTTTCACCCAGTTAAGTCTTTGTAATTCTTGTCTAAGTGTTCATTACATACCTGAGGACTTCCTCTATTAATCATCTTATTTCTGATATTCTAAACGCATTTAATTTCCCCTACTCACAATCTGATCATCTCGGACGCAATCCGTAGTACTGAATTTCCTTGGCCTCCCTCCCCTGTCTTGTGTTCAATCCCATCTCCTGATTGAATATTCTTCAAAGTTCTGTATACCGTACACAGAGGAATGTCATGTCTACCAGCTAACTCTTTTGCATTAGTCACGCCCCTTTCAAAATCACCTAGGACCAGCTTTCTTTTGTCTTCTGCTGTAAAATCTGCCATGTCAACAAAAGAAGCCGTCTGCTATACCAGGGGAGAGAACTATTGATGTAGTAAGGGTCATTCTTAAGCTGACAAGAGTTGCCTCCCATATTGAGTACCTTACTACATAATGTAACACCTATTTTTAAATTCTGTTATCAGTATTAGGAAACAAAGATTTTCTCAATAATTTTCTGGAAAAACTGTAATTCTGTATTGTCTAAGAAAAGTAATATTCATGAAGTTTTGCAATACGTGTAACTTGGCCTTGAACATGACTTAGATTGAGCAAAAGTCTGTTTGATTCAGCTATCTTGTCCAGTCAAATTTCTTAACCGATAGCTCACAGCTCATAAAACGTTAAAAATCTGATGCAGCTGTTATGTGTGTGTGCTGCATGCATGCGTGCATGCGTGCGTGTGTGCATGTGTGTGTGTGTGTGTGTGTCTGTACTACATCATCAGCTGTTGTTGGCAGGTTATCGATGTCGGCTACGCCAGCGAATCATTTTGCATCTCTTATTTTGTAATTATATTTCCATTTAGTGAGATCTTTTGCATTAGAATAAGTCAAATCCCTTTTATTAAATTTGAATGGTATCCTGAACATGATCTTTTGAATCTCCCCTTGAAGTAGTGGAACACTTGAATCCCTTGAAGTCAAAGCGGACATAAAAATACACTCACCCACGAGTTACCTCCCTTTTACCCTTTTCCGCGCAAACAGTCATGTGACCAGCCTTACTTGTCACTCTCTCCCTTTTCGCCCAAGTTGGGGGAGCACTGGAGTCCCATATACGGCATTATGTCCTTTTTATTTAGATCCTATTCTTCAAAATTATGCTGTGTATGGATTTGGCAATAACTACTTTGTATTATATGTAAAAAAATTGTAAAAATTATTTGTATTTGTGTCATAATTTCATCGTTATGTAACTTTGTTTACATTTCATGAAATCTTGCAGTGTTTGCAGGCACAGGTTATCCGTGGCTGATCCTCACCCCCAATGCCCTCGTGCATAAAACCATGTTCTTCCAGCTTGCGCTGTACTTATTGTGTTGATTTATCAAATCTACAATTTAATCAATATTTGTCTTAAGTCATCGGTTGGTCATCTCAAGTCACGGCTGATAAAACAGGAGATCAGCCTGCAAACCGTATGTTGACTTGCTACTGCTGAAATTCATAATACTGGTGCTATGTTGAGTACGTTGCAGGGGCAGTCTGCTGGTACGGGGGCTAAGAAGAGATCGGCTACAACGCAGTTGACTCCGACTCAAGCTAAGAAAAAGACGTCATCCTCTTCTACATCGCAGAAGAAAGCATCTGTTACCAGATCGAGGGTAAATCTACGCAGGCTAGTAAGTCAACGCGTCAGATATCTTTCAACGAAGAGATATTACCTCCACATGAAGTAGACGTTTTTGATGATCCCCCACTACTTCTACCCGAAGTGCCTACGAGATCAGCGACTTAATCGACGTCTACAAC